GGGACGCTTCGTCACTGAAATGGTCTCAGAATGAATAAAGCGTCAGATCGTTTATGCAGATACATTGGATTTTAACGGGATGCAATTCAGTTCTTCACTCTGATGCGTTTCACATTATTATTGCTGACATTTAATGTGACAAAATATATTTTCCTCGTCATCTGAAGATGAGGCAAAAATGAAGAAAGTCATTCGTTTTCTGCTCTTTCAATATAACTGACTAAGCGTCAACAGTCAGTCGACGACAGTTTGAGATAAACATCAGTATACATTCGTTATCAGCGCGACTTCGTAATCGTTTACACGATGTGACACAGAAATGTACGTGGTTGGCTGCAGACATTGACTGATAGCGGTGCTGTCTGTCCTCCGTATATTTGCATATTGGACGAATTGTTGAAGGGGTGAAAGTCGTATCTCCATTAATGTAGCTAATCTGTCAAATAGGACTGACCTCATTCTCTTGGTTAATGGTGATTCTTACCTCTGATAACTCAGCATGTAAAATACTATCGTTTTATGCGCGTTAACGTCATTTTCTGTTATGATGAGCAAGAAAGGTAGTTATTGATTTTTTAGCAGGATTCACATTGACATATGATTTTGGTATATTTATTGGTTTTCTGACCAGGTATTTGCTAAGGGCACGACTGTAACGCTGATCCATGCCCTCTTCAAATCACTTGATTTGGATGCCTTTGTTAGAATCAGGACCAGCTTACTGTATTTATTACTGAGTATGGACAAAGAATTTTAGTAGCCACTTTGTAACCGCTGCTTGAAAAGACTATCTTTTCACCTTCCTCCCGAAAGAAAACAAGGGCCTCGCCTAAACTGCACAATTATCTACGCATCAGAATGGAACTTTGTTAGAATGAATAATGGCGCATTTTGGCAAAAATTAATTCGGATCGAAGCAAGTAATGTTATGGTCGTGGGGCATTTAGTCAAGCTGATATGGTCAGACATCCCACTGAGGCATTTGGTCGAACTTCTTTTGCTTTTTGTTGAGTTCTAATAGAATGGGCTGGTTTACAAACTAGAATTTGACAAGGCTGCTAGACAAAACCGTTTTATCGGATAGCCGCCGTAAATACATTGGCAATCGCTCATATCTCTGCGTACCTCTAACACCAACAAAGTCACGAGGCTGATGAAACTGCGGCTTCTCATTTAGTAGAGTGCCAGAGTCAGAATCGACCGAGGGGTCTCTGGTTCGAGACTTCGTCAAAGTGAGTTGGCTTTCCGTCTTTCGAAGTTGATAAATGAGTTGTACTCTATGAAAAGGAAACAGTAGGCCACTAGGCTGTTTTACCCGCTTAGCTGTAGTTTTTGTCTCAAACGAATCATTTCTTGCTGATTGTATAGAAGCAGATATCAGCGCTTCATTAAATATTGGGCTCCACAAATCTCCCATATTCATGAAAGTTTGAGGGAGGTTGATTGTCCCAACGGTCACAGGTTTTCTTTTTTCTATTGTGCGATGCAGAGCCTTTGCAGAAAAGTGCAGTTTGTAAGTTTATATTCTAAACAAGATCGCCAGTCTTCTTCAAACCCTTTTCTATCCTGTAGACAATTAATAATTCAAGTTTTGTTTAATAATTCCAAATTCGGTTTTGTTGCGACAACCGATTGTAATATAACCGTGTAGCAATAAATGCATATTATGCTATAATAGAACTGATACGGAACAGACCTTCTAATTCACTGATTTTTCTCAACTTTACCATGTTCTGCGAACAGCACGGTTGTTACTTACTTGGTATGAAGAAAAATACACGTAGCTTATTGCATCCTTTTTGGCTGGTATATGAACGAATTGTATTATCAATCGAATTATCAATAAGTTATTTCTATCCATGCCTAGAATAGAGATATCTGCCTCGCTGAGAAGATACTCTTCTTCTACTGGGCGTTCTACAGGTTTGACAACCGACCTTGCTGATAAGCACAACTGTCCCTTACTCATTTACTTGCTCCGAACAGACAGCTGCAACTTGTTCTTCATTTACACGAGTTATTCCTGTTCAGTTAAAATCTTAAGCTCCTTAAAGTTACGATCAACTGCTTGAACTCCTTTCTTTCTTCTATGTATCATGCGCCGCTTTGAAATATGGAGCTAAATTTGCCTTATATTTGTTACGAATCAAAAAAGATAGAAAGACCTGTGTAATAAGTACAGTAAGTAAGATACATTTGAGGAAGCTCGAATATCTTTTGTACGATCTTACGCCAGGAATACTGTAAGTTTTATTTGGTTGAAACATATAGGCAGTTGGATGTTCTGTGAAAGGACGTTTATCCACTTGTCAGCAATGTCGCCACTGTAGAATCTTCAGCTATTGTAGAGCACATATCTTGGATATTTCATTAAGCTAGGATGATTTTTAAAAGTTTTGTTTAAAAAGATAGCATAAGAATCGTTTATGCCTATTTCTGTAAGAATCTTTGTTATGACACTCAATAAGTGTATAATATACAGTAAATATTCAACGTCATAATCATCTTTACAACCAAAACTGAGCCACAAACCTGCGATTTCCTGGTAGGAAATTTGATGCTGACTCTCACCCGCCTAGAGAACTGGCAAAAATTATGAACTGTTTAAACTAGTCGTCTGGTGAAGGACTGAACTGTTTTTTACTTTTATGTTTTTGCATTATCTGATAGATGTCTTTCGGTAATGTAAGTAAATGGGTGAATGTCGATGCCTTCTCGAAGATATGTTAGCAAATAATCTTGAAGTTTAACTGAGTAAATGCATACACAAAGTTGGATGAAACTGATGAGTTAATAAAAATTGACGAGGTGAATTTTTTATTAAAGATAATGCATAGAATGTGTAAAATCGTGTCAACTTTCTTGCTTTATTTTCATTGTCTCTTTTCGACTATGCCCCTTTAAAATGACTGTATCTAAGATTTCAGAACAAGATCTAGAAAGAATCAGGGCAGAAAGGGTCAGTCGTTCGAATCCAATCCCCGACACCATTCTGAAGATGAATTTGACGGCCGAAGTTGCCCTTGATCCTCTCAGGTCGTCGAGGCTCAAGGCCGACATGAACGACCGCAATAACGACCCCGTTGTACTGCCGGTTGCGGAGGAAAACATCGTCAAGGTAGATCCTTCATGCAGTGATCCAGACATCAAGGATCGCTGGTGTGTGGCGACTCATGAGATTTCTGACGTCATCAGTGATTCCAGCGGCATCGTCGGCTTCTCGCTAGTGTTCGGGTTCGTTTTCATGCTGGTCGTCGATCGCCTCATTCGCGGAAGGTTTCACCATAATGCATCCTTAAGCTTAGGTAAGCTCTTTGAATTGTTATGAATGTTTTGCTATAAGATTTATCTGTTATTTGAAAATATTACTTGAGGTAATGCTACAGCTGAAAAGTTCTTAATAGCGGCAGTCTTGAAAGATTTTACTCTACCTTGCAATATTATATGCAGTTTACCGTTAGGCATAGGTTCAGACTACATTCAATTCATTCTTATTAGCCATATTCGTTACCATTATGCAACACAATAAACTGAATAAACTGTGTCAGTATGTTTTCACCATTGAAATAGTCAGGCGACTTGCGTCGAATGTTGTTGTGCGTAATAGATCCCTTTTATGGCCAACCGTGATGTTGAATGCAGTGGATGTAAAACAGCTTTTAAAAGGTTATAGTTAAAAAACTCAGGTTGCTTGTTCGTCTCATGATAAAGCATTACCGGT